CTGCAGGACACCGCACCGACTTCCTACAACTTTTTGTCTTCGCCCACCACCCAAGTCTGCGGTCCCAAGCCGCGCGGGGCGGGGCGCGGGGCGGGGCGCGGGGCGGGGCGCGGGGCGGGGCGCGGATCACACACAGACACATAGACACACAGACATACACACACACAGACAGACACACACACACAGACACACACACACACAGACACACACATACAGGCAGACAGACACACACACAGACACACGCACAGACAGACACACACAGAGACACACACAGAGACACACACAGACAGACACACAGACAGACACACACACAGACACACGCACAGACACACACACAGACAGACACACACACAGACACACACAGACACACGCACAGACAGACACACACAGAGACACACACAGACAGACACACACACACACACAGAGACACACAGACACACACACACAGACACACACACACAGACAGACAGACACACACACAGACACACAGACACACGCACAGACACACACAGAGACACACACAGAGACACACACAGACAGACACACACAGACACACACACAGAGACACACACAGAGACACACACACACAGACACACGCACAGACAGACACACACAGAGACACACACAGAGACACACACAGACAGACACACACAGACACACACACACAGACAGACAGACACACACACACAGACATACACACACAGACACACACACAGACACACACACACAGACACACACACAGACACACACACAGACACACAGACACACGCACAGACAGACACACACAGAGACACACACAGAGACACACACAGACAGACACACACAGACACACACACAGAGACACACACAGACACACGCACAGACAGACACACACAGAGACACACACAGACAGACACACACACAGAGACACACACACAGACACACACACACAGACAGACAGACACACACACACAGACACACACACAGACACACACAGACACACACACAGAGACAGAGACACACACACGCACAGACACACACATGCACACACACACAGACATACACACACAGACACACACACAGACACACCAAGATCGGGGTGACCCCGGTGCCCACACGGCCCCAGGGAGCCGGGGATCGCAGCCCCCACCTCTCCCTCTCAGCCTCCAGGGTTTTATTCAGTTCAAGAATGCGGGTCGCTGGGGACTCTGGGGTGATCCGAATTTGTGGGGGGGAGCTGATGAGGGCAGGGCTGGGGCCTGGGGCCTCTAAGAAAGGCCTGTGAGAGCCCGGAAGGCAGAGAACAGCAGGTGCAAAGGCCCTGGCTTACTGCACCCAGTGATTGCCAGGTCGTGTGTGTGTGTGTGTGTGTGTGTGTGTCTGCATGCATGCAGAGGCTGACAGACACAGAACTTCCTCCATTGATGTGTACAGCAGAAAATTGAACCATGCCTTAGGATCTAGAACCGCTCCTCTGGACCACAAGAAGTTGTGGGAGGGTCTGGGAAGGTGGCTCAGTGCTAGAGCGTTTGCCTTGCATGCATGAGGCCCTGGGTTCGATTCCTCAACACCACATAAGCAGAAAAACCAGAAGTGGAGCTGTGGCTCAAGTGGTAGGACGCTAGCCTTGAGCTGAAGAGCTGAGGGACAGTGACCAGGCCCAGAGTTCAGGCCCCATGACCAACAAAAAAAAGAAGAAGCAGCAGCAGCAGCAGCTGTGAGAAACCACCATGGTGGGAAAACACAATGTAAAGACCACAGGAATGCAACCTGCCAGTTCCTCCTTCATGATAGAGGAACGTGTTGCGGACAAAAGATGTGATTGTTTGTTTGTTTGTTTTGGGGGGGGTCCGATCGTGGGCCTGGGCGCTGTCCCTCAGCTCTTCAGCTCAAGGCTAGCACTCTACCACTTGAGCCACAGTGTCACTTCCAGCTTTATCTGATTTGTTTATTGAAGATAAAAGTCTCACAGACTAGCCAGGCGCTGGTGGCTCACGCCTGTAATCCTAGCTACTCAGGAGGCTGAGATCTGAGGACCGCGGTTCAAAGCTACCCGGGGCAGGAGAGACCGTGAGACTCCTATCTCCAATAAACCACCAGAAAACCGGAAGTGGCGCTGTAGCTCAAGTGGTAGAGTGCTTGCCTTGAGCTGAAGAGCTGAGGGACAAAACGCCCAGTCTCACAGACTTTCCTGACAGGGCTGGCTTTGAGGTTCAATCTTCAAATCTCAGCCCGCTGAGTAGCTAGGATTATAGGTGAGAGCTACCAGTGCCCAGCCAATATCTTCTTAACACCCGTCTGAGCCCCCCCCCCAAAAAAAAACAAACCTCCTAGCTCCTTGGTCCTTTAGCCTATCCATGTGCTGCTAATTACAGCTAATGCATTCCAAAGTCCAGTTGCTAATGTATTCCCAGACTCAGGAGATTCCCACAACCAGGCGCACCATCCCTGCCTACTTGTCACCACTGGCCTTCATTCCAAACTAGTCTTCAGTATTACTCCCAAAGAGCAGTCTCATGCCTGTAATCCCAGCTACTCAGCAGTCTGAGATCTGAGGATCATTGAAGCCAGCCTGGGCAGGAAAGTCCCTACAACTCTCATCTGCAATTAAGCACCAAAAACAAAAACAAAAGAACAGAAGTAGAGGTGTGGCTCAAATGATAGGATGCCAGCCTTCATTCAGCACACAAGCTCAGGAGCCTGAACCAAAAATAAATAATAAATAAGTTTACCCTAGACTGATTTTTCCAGGCTATGGTCAAGAATAACTAAGCAGGGTATGGTGTCACATACCTGTAGTCCCAGCTACTCAATCTCAGCTGAGGTCAGGGAATCAATTCAGTTCAAAATTTAACACCAGCTTGGTGCTGGAAGAAGACTTTGCCTTGAGGGTGGGGAGGGGTAGAGAGGGAGAAAAAATATTTTTTTTTGCTAGGTTTTATTCAGGATTAAAACCTGAGAAGGACCAGGCACTGGTAGGCTACTCAGGAGGCTGAGATCTGAGGATTATGGTTCGAAGCCAGCCCAGGATTTAAAGTCTGTGACACTCTTTTCTCCATTTAATCACCAGAAAAGCAGATGGTGCTGTGGCTCAAAGTGGTAGCGTGCTAGCCTTGAGTGAAAGAGCTCAGAGACAGCGCCCAAGCCCTGAGTTCAGGCCCCACAACCAACAGGGGGGAAAGAAAAAGTATAAAAAGGATGAACCAGGCACTGGTGGCTCATGCTTGCAATCCTACCTACTCAAGAAGCTGAGATCAGAGGATCAGGGTTCAAAGTCAGATTTGACAGGAAAGTCTGTGAGGCTTTTCTACACCAAAAAGCCAGAAGTGGGGCTGGGAA